CAGGGGACGTGCACAGGCTGCTGAGCATGGGAGCCAAGAAGAGGGGGACCTGGTGTGGGTGGCAGGACCCTAGAGCTTTCTCTTCCTCCATCTTCCTCTGTGGAGTCAGGGGTAGGTGCTCTGCCATCATGAGAGTGTGGATCTGAGCAGGCCCACCCACCGTGATCCCGAACCCTGCACCTTTGTCTCCAGGAGACGGTGGAGACCAGCCTGTGCTTGGCCACATCAGGGCAGCGTTTTCTTTAACCTCCAACCCTGCGCTGGGGCGTCAGGGTGAATGGGATGTTTGTGCTGGTCAAAGGCTTTTTTTGTTCTGTTTATTTAAATGGTGCCAAAATTTGCACACCATACGATTTGCCATTTTAACCATTTTAAGTGTTCATTAAGTACATTCACCGCCATCCAACTCTAGACATTTTTGACCTTCCCCAACTGGAGCTCTGCACCCATTAAATATCAACTCGCCACCGCCTCTGCCCTCAGCTCCTGGCAACCAGCATTCTACTTGCTGTCTCTACGAGTTTGGCTACTCAGTGCCTCATAAAAGTGGGATCATGCAGTAGTTATCCTTCTGTGACTGGCTCATTGCACTCAACATAACGTCCTCAACGTTAATCCATGTTGTAGCATGTGTCAGAATTCTCTTCCTTTTAAAGGCTGAATGGTATTCAGTTGCACATGTATACCACATTTTGTTTGTCTGTTCATTTGGTGATTGACATTTGAGTTGCTTCCACCTTGTGGATACTGTGAATAATGCTGCTATGAATGTGGGTATGCAAATATCTCTTTGAACTCTGGCTTTCAGTTCTTTTGTATATATACCTAGGAATGGAATTTTCAGATTACGTGGTAATTCTGTTTAACCTTTTGAGGACCAGCCATCCCGTTTTTCACAGCAGCTGCACTATTTTACATTCCCACCAGTAATGTATAAAGGTTCCATTTTCTCCACAATATCACCAACACCTGTTTTCTGGTTTGTTTGTTTTTTTTAAATTTTTATAGTAGCCATTCTAATGGGTATGCGGTGTCACCTCATTATGGTTTTGATTTGAACATCCCTAGTGATATTGAACATTGGTCAAAAGGTTTCCATCAGAAGGTACCCACCCTCTGGGAAGTCAGCAAACTTGGCAGGGGAAGGGTGGTCAACGTGTGTGGATCAGGACAGATGGGGAGGCCTCTTGAAATCACACTGCCCCATACAGTGGGTCACCTGGCTGGATGGAGGGCCCTCAGGTATATACCTAACACAGGTACACGACAGGCTACCAGTGCAAGGAAGAGTAGAGATAGGGGCTCCACTTATGGCAATGATGTGGAAGGACCACACAAGGTGACTGTGTCCAGTGTCAGGGTGTTTGTTCTCTGGGCCCACATGCTTTTCACATACATAGAATTTGGGTTTTGCCCAGAGTTCCCCTTTTATGTGCAGTCATTTCCCTCGTATGATTCACTCACGTGGCCATCCCCTGTGTAGACTTTGGATTCATGACATCGGCATGCTGGAGCCCCACATGGAGCCTGGGGTCTCAAAAGCTGGCATTAGGCCCCCTTTGACATCGGCATCCATCCCTGTCTTGGGAGAGGGGTCATCGGCTTCTACTGAACATCTCCAATGACAGGGAGCTTAGCTCTCCCCAAGCCACTTGTGCCACGTGGAGACAGCTGTAGTCATTAGAGATGCCTTTCTCATAGTCAGTGTGAATCAGCATCTCTGCAACTCTCCCACCCAGACGTGTAAGTTTCTCTTCCCTCCCATGGTGATGTTGAGAGACATGAAGATATCGATTTGTTTCCCCTAAATCTTCTCCTTTCCAGGCCAAACAGGAGCTGCTAGCACTTCTCAAAGTTTAATGTGCAAACAAGTCACTGGGGAATCCTTTGAAAATGCAGATGGAGATTCTGGATTTCTAACAAGTTCCCTGGTGATGTGGAAGCTAATGAGGGTACCTCTCATAGGTTTGTAGTGAGGTCTGAGACCAGGCTCAAATCTCCCCAATCAGGGGCTGGCGCACCCTGTGTGATGGACAGTGTAAGCTCTTGGTCATTTTCCATTGAGCAGCCCCAGGACCTTTGATCATTCCCTCGAGGTGCTCTGCGTTTATGTCCCCTCCCCAGGAGACACTTGGAAGGGCCATAACTCATAGTAAAGGGCCATAACACATAGTAAACAGAAGATGTAGGCGTGGTCTTTACCTACAGTTTCCACAAACAATATGTTCACAATTCTTACCACTATCCTACTAAACACAATGATAGAAACAGTGGTTTTTCTGGGCAACTCAGATGAGTGAAATTTCAACTCAGAAGTTGAAGGACATATCAGCAAAGGTCTATCCTGCCAGGCTACACTGGTTCTATGCTCGTGCTGATTAGAAATGCTAAAGAACAATTAGCTAAACCAATACACTTTGATATGGCAAGACAGATCTGTTAGTATTTAGTACATGTCACTTTTGTTTGATAGACAGATTAAAGGGGGGAAATTGTTTCTTCACAAGCTGATGCACAACTCTGTGTTTCCTGGCTCAGCTCAGGTGTCATTCCTGCAGGAAAGCCCTTTTTCCCTCCAGGATATGAGTCAGATGCTCTTCAGGCCACCCTATTACATCCCTCACCATGTGGGACTGTAATTGTGTTTCTTTGTTAGATTTTAATTCCCTGGACACAGAGATCAGATCTTATTATCATGGTATCTTTGGTGCCCAGTGTAGCACCTGGCACAGCACAGGGACTCTGAAAATGTTTGTGAAGGGAGGGAGGAAAGAAGAGAAAAAAAGAGGGTAGGAGGGAGAGGGCGGGGTGGGGGGGGAGGAGGAAGGAAGGAGGCATAAATGACTCCCCCCAACCCCAAACAGAAAGAAACTGAAAGAAACTTATTTGCAAATGAGTTGGTCTTCAGTGATTTTTGTCCCCTGGAGACATTATCTGCTTTTTAGGAATTTAGGTACTTTGCTGTAAGCGATGGAAGCCTTCCCTCTAGCTGACTTGCTGGAGAGCCAGGTGTCCAAGGAGTCCTTATTCTAGATTTGTGAGTGGGTGCTGCATTCTCCCAGATGCCCTGTTCCTCTTTTACATTCACAGGAGCAAAGAGGACTGGGGAGTTGACCTTGATCTCCAAATATCTATCTTTATGCTTTTAGCTCCTTCAGTATCCTTGCTCGTATTGCTTCTAAGACAGAAGATGACTGGTCCTCAAACATAAGCTCCTCTTATGTGAAGTATATTTTTCCTTGTGGTTCCTGTAACTACGGTTATTTTTTAACTGGGGGACTCTTTTTTTGTTAGGTAATTCTTTTCCTGGGCCCTGAGAATTTTGAAATGAGATATTATCTTTCTTATTCGAGTAAGATGAAAACAGGTGAGAGGATGCTCGGTGAGTTGGTGGCAGAGCCAAGGTCCCAGCTCGCTTCACTGGCATCCCGGTGAGTGACTCGTGCGAACCAGACTTCCCAGACAATGGCCTACCTGAATTCTTGGCCAACTATCCGGCTGACTCACCAGGTGTAGACGAGCTATGCCAAGGCTGGGGGACTTGTGTAACATTTTCAGAATGAAATTAAGGTGTGGCTGCACTTTTGGGAAAATCAAACAGGTGTAAAATTCTGAATCCAAATTACGACCCAGAATATCTTCAAAACCCCAGTATTTGCACGAGTCTGGGACGTGATGAGCTGGGTGCCTCCCCACCTTCCCAGCCTGGAAATGGCATGTTGGCCAAAAGGACCAGGGTGATACATTTTGTGTGGTCTCCTGGGACGTGAGCAGTGCAGTCCTGACAGCTGCCTTGACAGCTGCCCCTTCTAAACAAGGCTGAAGGCACTCTAGCCCGTGTTTCCCACAGCACAAGAATTAAGAGGCTTCAGCATAAGCCCCGGCTGGAGGCCCACGAGGCCGGTCTGTTTCGTTCCCGGCACGTTGCCCACAGTGAGCATTGCTCACAGACCCTCACTGCTCTCAGAGGTGCAGAGGTGGTGACTGCACTCTGTTCCCCTCAGTTGATTCAGATACTTCCCTCCAACTCCCAGAGGGACTTGGGGGAAACATGATTTCCTTTTGAGCATAGGTCATTAAATCGGGACCGTCAGGGCCTGACTCAGGTTCCAGGTCATCCTCGATGGCGGACGTGGGTCCTGCTCATCTCTGCCGCCCCAGCACTGGTGGAGAGCCTGGCCCGAGAAGGCTCGGACAGGTGTTAAAGGATCAAGCAGGGACTCTGGGACCGCGGTGGGTGTCGAGGCCACTCTGTTCAGAGTGGAGACCCTGGGTGGCTGCCAAGTCGTGATGGGAGGCCTGGGAGGCACGACACTTCACCAGCACAGACCCACCACTGCCCACAGAAGAAAGACAGGAGTCCACGGACAGAACCGCATCTGCAAACTTGTTTCACTTTTTACAAGGTGATCAGAAAATAGCCTTCAGAGGAAAGTTTCCTCAGTAAAGAAAACCCATTCTATTCAAATAAACATTTCTGCAAGATTGCCTTGGTTCAGCCCTCAGCCATTTACCCCCTAAGGTGAGCTGGAAAGGGCTGCTGTGTCTGAGCGAGGGTGGGGTGGCCACCGAGTGCCACACCTGACCTAGGAGGGGGTGTACTGGGCGGTCTGCTGGCCGGGCAGGGCTCAGCGCAGCGCAGTGCTTCTGGGGGGCCCTGGGGTTTGCTCACTGTGCGAGCCGACCCTTGAGGAGGAGTGGGTGGAATGCTGGCGGGGACAGCTTCTTAGGGAATCAGGCTGGACCCACCCTGGTGGCAGGGCCAGGGGAGAACAGGGAGCAGGCAGGGGAGGAGAAAAGAAGTGGAGCAGATCCTGGATCCAGGAAGAGGCTCAGAAGGGACTTGTTACGAGAGCAGAGCAGCGCCCTCCCAGGGAGGGGAGCCCTGCGGAGTCCTGCAGGTCGGGTTTTCTGAGGATCCCCACTTCCTTTGAAACTTTACGGATCTCAGATGGCAGAGTATGAGTTGATGTGTGTGTGTGTGTGTGTGTGTGTTTGACTGCTCTGGGGGAGGGAGAAGTAAGCTCTTCTGGGTTTATCGGGGGGTGGGTTAGTCTGCTGTGATTCTCAAGAAATGCCTTCCATGGCGAAGTCCTCTAGGTCGTTAGTGGAGATGATATGCAGTCTTGGAGCATCTCCCACCTCCTCCCCTGGGCTCTGGGGGCGCCCCTCAGGGCACTGCCCTGCAGAGTGCTGGGTGGGGTCACTGGGAGGCTCAGAGGCCAGCTGCAGGCCAGCATCTTGGGCGCTCTGGGGCCTGGGGCCAGCTGCCTCGTTGGTGTGAGGGCGCTGCCTTAGGAAGGTGGGGGCAGAGAGCTGAGAGGAGCAGCGCAGGGGCATCAAGGCTGTCACAGGCAGGGGCCGGAAGCCCGGGTACAGCACGTAGGGAGCAGCAAGGGCATCCGGCGGGCTTGGCTCAGGGGAACCTCCCTCAGAGGATGGGATAGAGACCTTGACGTATTTGCCCGTCTCTGGGTCATAGAAGGTCTTGATTTTCACCTGGAGCGGCAGATCGAAGACAAAGTACTCTCCAGATTGGGGGTCTTGGAGGACCTTCTGGGTGGCAGGGTAAGGGGAAAGGGGTGTAAGGGACTGGGAGCCCCCAGGCCGCCTCTGGATGGGCTCTGAGAAGGCAGACACTGAGTGGCGGCGCACGGGAGGGGGCAGGGAACGGACCACGGGGAACCTGGCTGGGGGCCTCTCTCCGGGGGAAGGTGGCCTGCGCTCTGAGTCCTCGGGGTGCAGCTTTTCCTCCCGGCGTTCGCCATGCTTTTCCTGTGGCTGGTCGGTCTTTCTCCTCTTGCTTGCTAGCTTCTTGGCCCGCCGCAAGGCCTTCTCTGTTTTGGGTGGTACTGCTGGAGGCTTGCCAGCCGCCCTCTCCAGCTGAGAAGGAGGCTCTGGCTTCTCCAGGAGGCCAGCTGAGCTGGTGGTCACGTCCAACAATGAGCCTCTTGGAGAAAGTGTCCTGAGGTCTTCTGCTGATGACTCCAGTTGGGGGTCGGAGCCGGGCTCCCACGTGAGGGCATGCGTCAGGTCCTCCCTCTGCGCCACCCTGCCAGGGCGGGAGCTGGCCCAGGGGCTGCTGCGGGGAGGCTCCCCTGGCAGCAGGCTGGGCTCACTGGGGGCCTGGTAAGCATCATCGTAAATGCTGCTGGTGGCAGGGGAGCATGCACTGTTCTCTTCCAGGGAGCTGGCGCTGGGGGAAGCTGCTAGCTCACCAGGGGCCAGTCTTCTCCCCGGGGGCTGTGCTCTGGGTGTAGACAAAAAATGACTTTGGAAGCCCTGTGCCTGCTCTTCCCAGCGGGTTCCAAGCTTCTGTAGGGGTGGCTGGTCTTCCAGGTCGCCTTCTGGCAAAGCAATCGTGGGGATGCACGTTGGAGCATCCAGCTTCCCCTGGTCTATGGAACTGCTCTTGCCATTGCTGGCCACGACTTTATGTACGGCCTCTCGGGCTGGCTTCAACCCTTGGCCCTCTCCCGTGAGTGGAGGAAATGGGACATACCCCTTTGGGGCTGCCTGGGACGTCTCGGACCTGGCTGCGCTGGGACCCCACCCGCAGTCCTCCATAGCCTCACAGGCCGCCCCCTTCAAGTGTGTGCCTTGCACGCTGGTGGGTGTCAGAGTGCTGGGCATTTCCCGGCTGTCGGGGGCACAAAGACCAGCATCCCTGCCCCAGCCTGGCCTTGGCAGTTCCTCCTCTTTGTGGCCAGTGCCCAGCAGGGAATCTGAGGACATGGATCTCAGGAGGGGCAGCATGATGGGTTTTATCACGGGGGTGGTCCTGAGGGTGTTGTCTTTAATTGCAAAGAGTATGTGCTTGTTTGAAGTGGAACATGGTGAAGGGGTTAGGTCTTTGGCATGTGAAAGAGCTGTATCCTTACTTCCCCCAATGCCAGTGACTCTGAAATTAGCTTCCTCCCTCGACGCCTTCCCGGGGCTACCTTCTGGCAAACTTTCCTCTTCTCCTTGCAAGGATTCCCACTTGCTGTGCTCCTCCATGCATGCGTGCCCATTACTCAAGGTACGGTATTGTAGTTCATCTTCCTCCATCACTTTCTCCTTCTCATCCTTCTGACTGTCACCTACACTCACGTCATTCCTCCTTTCTTCCTGCTGGCTCTCGGCAAACCACGTCTTCTGCTGGTCCTCGAACGAGGCAAAGGACTGATCTGAAGAGCTGGTGCTGAATTTGCTCTTACTTTTGAGGCCTGGCATAAAATCAGACTGGCTGTCACTGTAAAACACATCTTCCTCCTCGGGAGAAAGGGGCCCTGGGGAGAATTTCTGGTTGAAGTTTGGATTCTGAAGCCTTGCCTCTCTCTCGGGTTCTGTATCTTGAGAGACGGATCTCAAGAATCCATTCTCTAGGCCGGAGGTCTTTGGGGCCTCCGCAGCCTTCCCTGCCTCAGGGTCTCCACTGCAAAGCTTCAGAGACAGATGTTTCCTGGGGCAGTGTTCCCTGGAGTCTGGATGCCAGCTGGGCCTGGCACCCCCCATCTCCGATTCTCCACTGGCATCGTCCTTCTCATAGCTGTTCCTGTCGCCGGCCTCGCCATTGACACAGAAGGGCGCTTTGGCGTTAGGTGATGGCGAGGTGAGAGTTAGGTAGTTGTCTGCAGAGGCTGCACCGGGGTCAGCTTTGGGGTCCTTCTGCGTACTGATGAGTGACACAGAAGGGGCATCAGCTGGTGTCTCCTTAGAAAGCTCATCTGGAGGGCCTTCCTCGAGCCCGTTGGGAAGGAGGCCGCCGTTGCTCAGGGATTCTTGCTTGCCTCTGGTTTTCTCATCAGGACCTTTCAAGAGAGGTGAGGGACTGTACGTGCTCTTCACACACTTCCGCACATCTTTGAGGTTGAACAGCAGGCTGGGGGCTTTGGATTTGTAACTGTCCCAGGACTGACATTCACCGGGCTCCTTCTCTTGGTATCCGTTTAGCTGTCCTGTGGGTGACGGAGTTACCTCTGCTGGCTGGTTGTTGGAGGACTCCAGCACGTGCTTGTTGGGTATGACAGGGGTCAGAAGCTTACTGATGTTGAAAGGAGGATCGTAATGCTCGTGGGGGTCCACAGGCGTGTCGAGGGCATCCTTTTCTGGAAACTGCCCCTGGGGATTGTGCTTTGTATGCAAGGCTGGGCCTCTCCAGCTGGTCTGCTTCTTCTCTTCTGAAGCATCTTGCAGACTTTCTTTACCTCCCTTCCCAGACTTTGGTTTCCTCCAGGGGGCATGGGTCGGTTTCAGTGGAGGCTCAGGCTGTGAGCTGGAAGCTTTTCCCTCCGTAGCAAATCCCTGGGCTCCCAGATCCCTAGATCCCCAGGTTCCAGATGTGGAGTGAGTCCCTGCGGCCAGCCTGTTCTCCTCTTGACCGCAGCCGGCCCGGAGGTGGCAGGGGGAGGCTTTGTGCTCAGAGGCCGGGGGCTCCCTTAACAAGGGCGTGTCCTCGTAACGCTTGGGAGCCTTGCTTTCTGTGACAGTGTCAGCAGCATCCTTCCTCTCAGGCAGCCTGGGTTGGTGGGCGTTCCATGACTCAAAAGCACTGTTTTCACTATGAAGAAAGGTCCCTTTGCGAGCCCACTCCTGGCCCCTTCCAGTCTCGCTGGTGGCTGCCCTGTGGGCCGGAGAGGGGAACTTTGACTCAAATGAGTTGGCTGCGTTTTCGGGCATTGGGAGGAAGCTGTTGGGGCCATGACAGGCCATTTCAGGATTCTTGGGGGACTCCTGCTGTCCGTGCTTCCTGCCAGCCTGGTGGCTAGTCTTGTGGGTACTGGAGACTTCAGCAGGCACCCTCCTGACCGTCAAAACGGCAGAATCGAAGCAGAAGTTGACACCGCTTTCTGGAAGAGGAGCAAATTTGGGGGGATTTTTGAGAGCTGGAGCCTTGCTGGTAGGAGGCCTGCTGTCACAACGTTGGCTTTCAGTCCTGTCGAAAGATTTAATCAGTGACGACACTTTGGAAACAGGCTTGTTGCTGCTCCTCAGGCCGGAAACGGGCACTTCCAGTCTCCTCTGGGCTGGTGTCAGTGGGGGGCTGCTCTTGGGATACTTCTCCTCCCCTTGAACGTACTTGGGCAGCTGTTGGAACGTGGCCGCCCAGCCGGCATGCTCCGTGCCTTGGGATGGTAACTGGCTCCAAATGCCGCTTTTCCGATGGGTATGGCTCACCGTTCTCTGGTGAAAATTCCCGAACACTTGGCGAGTGATATCCGGGGACAGGGCCAGGTCGGAGTCATGGAAGGACGCGTCCTCTGAGATGCACAGGCTCCGGAACGCCCGGTCTGTGAGGCTGCTCACCTCCCTGTCTGCATCGTCCAGCACGCTGCCAATGCTCGAGGAGTCGCTGAAGCCGTCCGTGCACTTCTTACTCCCCTGCATCCTCTGCGTCCCTGTCAGTCAGTGGGCGCCTCTGGGTGATGATTTAGGAAGGGTTGGATGCAGCCCTCTCCCCGCAAAACTGGAGCTTCCCGATGACCAGATGCAATTACAAAGTGGGAATTTTTTTTCTCTGCAAAAGGAAAAAGTGCAGGGTGTGAATATGATTTTCAACTTAGCGGCTCCATATAAGCATGACACGCTGGTCTGGATGGTCGATTTTACGTGTCAACCTGGCTGGGCCATTGTGCCCAGTTTTTGGTCAAATGTCAGTGAAGCGGTTTACTCTCCACAGCGTGGGTGGGCCTCGTCCACAGGGCTGAGATCCCCCGAGCAAGAGGCAATTCTACCTCCAGTCTTTGTACTGGAGTTGCAACTTCAACTCCCCCTTGGGTGTCCAGCCTGCTGGCCTGCCCTGAAGATATTAGACTTGCCGGTTCCTTACAATAAATCTCCTTCTTCCTCCGTGTATATGTACATACATCCTATTGGTTCCGTTCCTCTGGAGAACCCTGACTAATGCAGTGCCTAAGGTCCAGACGTGTCATTTTTGCAGAGTGAACTTCCCTGGCATTCCACAGGGTGTTCCCTCCTCACTCTCTCTCACAGGGCCTGCTTTATTTTCTTTGGGGTACTGAGCACAATCTAAAACTAAATGTACTTCTTTGTTGCTTATCCCCTCCGTAGGCTGTAAGAACCCGGAGCTCAGGAGCCACTGGGCTGTCTGCTTGCTGACTGCCCTTGTCCCAGAGCCACCCCAAGAGGGCACAGTCCCCCAGAGCCTGCCTCACCAGGGATCCTTCACTCTCTGACTTGCCCTTGGGTGTGGCCAGTGGGAGGTGCTGGTGGGAGCTTGGATCAAGGGGGAGCCAGCCTTCCTGGCATTTCTGTCCCCCTACTTCCTGCTTCTGACTGTGGAGTGGGGTCCTGGCAACACTACAGTCCTCTCTAACTACAGCCCCTCCCCTGGGCTCTGACTCTCACTGGGCCCTGCAACACTGCTGCCCTTGCCCCCTGGGGCTGCCAGAAGAGTGGCTGTCACTTCCTCAGCGACTCCACATCCTGGGGTCTCCCTAATTCTGCCTACACCTCTGTGATAGTCCCTTCATTGCGTTCTTTTCTTCTTTTTTTTAAAAATTGTGGTGAAATACACATGACATAAAATTTACTATCTTAACCATTTTACGTGTACAGTTCAGTAGTATTAAGTGCATTCATCTTGCAAAACTGAACTCTGTATCCATTAAACAACAACTCCCCATTCTCTCCTCCCCAAGCCCCTAGAAATCACCATTCTACTTTCTGCCTCTATGAATTTGACTATTCTAGGTACCTCATATGAGGGGAATCAGTGTTTGTCTTTTCGTGACTGGTTTATTCACTTAGTACAATGTCCTCAAGGATCATCCATGCTGCGACATGTGTCAGAATTTCCCTCCTTTTTAAGGCTGAACAGTATTGCATCGTATGTATACAGCATATTTTGTTTATTCATTCATCTGTCAGTGGACACTTAGGCTGCTTCTACCCTTTGGCTGTTGTGAATAATGCTGCTATGAACATGGGTGTCCAAATACCTGTTCAAGACCCTGCTTTCAATTCTTTTGGGCACATACCCAGAGGTGGAATTGCTGGATCATATGGTAGTTCTACTTTTAATTTTTTGAGGAGTTGCCACAGTGTTTTCCTCATTGTCTGTTCCATTTTACACACCTGCCAACCATGCACAGAATTCAAATTTCTGCTCTTTTTGTTTTGATAGCAGCCATCCTAATAGGTATGAGGTGGTTCATTGCATTCCCTTCTGGATTCTGTCTAGGGATGTTACTTCCTGCTGGGACCCTGATTACTACTATTCAGTACACGCCTCCAATGCCTAGAACAGGCCTGGCCAGGGCAGGGGATGAACACATGAGTACATGAAAAGTTAGATAAAAGAGCAAGTATAGACCCTAGAGTGGGCTCAAGTTGGGGGCGTTTGGCACAGTGAACATTCTAGCAGCTGACTGATGCAACACTGTCACACAGTGGCCCCATTCAGGCACATCAGCAGAGGAAACTGGCAAGCCCGTACGCTCCCCTCCTTGCCTGGCTGGCCTGAGCAGTAAGCTTAGGGGCCTGAACAAGGCTGTAAGGGGTGGAAGATGAACACGTGTCACCAGGGTGGTAGGGCCTGCACGGCAGGGGTCCTGATCATATCCTGGCTCCTCATAGAGGGTCGCCCACCAGGTGTCCCACAGGGCCTGATGTGCTAGCACTGCTGTGTTTTGGTCCCGGAGGCCAGCCTTCCTTGGGATTTTCTGTTTCCTGTCTCTTGACCACAGCACTCCGGTGGGTTTCTGATGCTGATTCATCGGGAGGCTGACTAATTTTTATGAATGAAAGGGCTGAGTTGGGGCTGCCAGAGAAAGCAAAGGACCCCAAGTTCTAGTAAACTGGATGAGCTGATGAGGCACCACTGATGGCCCTGGGAAAGCCTGTATTTACATACTCCTCAGCCCTGCCTTGAGAATCGGGCCACTTGCTCCCCAGAAAGCACAGTAGGTGCCTTTTAGAAGGCACCTGAAAGGGGAGAGCATCAGCCCTGCCCCTGCACCTGGCCAGCCTCGCCCCTGTCCCCACCCCCTTCTCTCTCTTCTACTTCCTCTCAAAAAACTGCAGAAGCTAAATGCTCATGGCCTTAGACTCCCAAACAGCTAGTTCTGGCCACAGGGGTGGAAGCATTCTGACGACTGGGAAAACTCTTGCCTTTCTGATCAAGGGAATGGTCCCCATTGTCTCCATTCTCTTGGTGCCCTTTTACCCACTTTAGTACAGATCGTGGAGCCTGAAACTGTATTTGTTTGCTAGTGCTGTTGCAACAAAGTACCACAGACTGATGGCTTAAACTACAGAAATTCATTATCTTACAGCTCTGGAGGCTGGGGTTCCCAGATCAAAGTGTGGGCAGGGTTGGTTCTTTCTGAGGACAGAGGCAGACCCGTGAGGGACGGGTCTATTCCAGGCCTCCCTCCTTGGCTTGCAGGTGGCTGCCTTCTTCCGGTGTATCTTCATGTTGCCTTTCCTCTGTGTATCAGGACACCAGCCCTATTGGGTTAGAACTCACTCTAATGACTTAATCTTAACTACTTAAATCTGCAATGACTCTGTTTCCAAATAAATCACATTCTGAGGTCATGAGGGGTTAGGACTTCAATGTATGAATTTGGGTGGGATACAATTCAACTCATAACACTGAGGCATCCATTTTGCAGCTCTGAGGGACAAACAATGATGACTCAAGGCCAATTTGCTGAGGATGGCCTGGTGGACAGAGGAACATTCCTGAGTCCTTGTGGCCCCGCTGGGCTGTGAGCCTGGACCAGAATCATCCCCCATCTGGAATCTGTGTTATTGGACGGAATTGGGGGCCCTCCGTGACTCTGGACATTTTAAGTCAAGTTTTCTGCTCTTGAGGTCTTACCGATATAGTCAGGGAGTCTTCTGACTCCCTGGTGTCCCGAATGCTGGGGTTTTGACCTCGGCAATGACTGAACTCAGTAACACTGGGGTTTCTCTACTTCCACATTAAGATGGAAATAGCGTCCTTAGAGAAATAATTAGAATCTTAGAGTTAAGTAAACACCCCCAGTCAATTAAATACCACCTACTATTAGCAGATACTTGTTAGTTTTTAAACACTCTGCTTCCATCCCTTCCTTCAAGTAAGAACACTTGGTACCTTTTGGGGAATTTCCTCTCCCCTTGGCGTTCAGTCTCGGTGGGGCTGAAAGTCAAGGAGCCTGCAGAGACCTCTCAGGGCCAAGTGCAGACGTGAGACCCAGGATAGCCCACTGGACTGTTTCTCCTGGAGTGACACAAGGAGGGAGTCTGCTTTCCAGCAGCAGCAGGCACCCTGTTTGTCCTTTCCCAGCCTGGAGCTTCAGCCCTCACCTTGAGTCCACGAGGGTTCCCCTTTCCTCGTAATACGTATCCTTTCCTGCTTCACTTGTCCAGTTTTTGTTTCTGTTGTGTGTGACCAAAAAACCCAACCTGATCTTGGGCTTGTGTCATACTTCCAAACAGTAACAAAAGATGGTCACTGATGTTTGGAGTATTCAGAAGATAGCCACATTGCTTCTGCTTCAGGAAAAAGAGAGACCTCCCTCTTGCTAACTTCATTCAGATAATTTCTTCCATTCTGACTTGATTTACCTGGGTTCAGATGGGACGATATAAAGTTGGCTTCATTCCCCCACTCCCATCCCCTAGTCTCCTGATAGGCAATGGAAGCTTCAGCAGAGTAGCCCAAACCGAAGGTTTTTCCAGGGGCCGACTCTTGAGTTGATACATACCTGTTACAGGAGTGGGGGTAGTGGGTGCCTGCCTTCCTGGGTTTTAGGATCTGTAGTTTTAAAACTTCTTGTCATGATTACATTCGCTTTCATTGCTGCCCATCTAGAAAGAAGAAGAAAAATAATTTCGTTAGAACCCTAAGGACCAAAAAGCCAAGCATGAGTTCAGTACAAAAGCTATCTTTAAATGTCAGTAATACAATTGGCTTTCAAATTTTCTTTTTTTTGGCTCTCATACTTGAACTCAACAAAATTCCAAATGCAGGCATTTTGGGGGAAACCAAGATAGATTTATATCCCTTCCAATATTCATTAATTTGTCTCTGGTCCAAGAAATCTTTAGGAACCTGTTTTAAGTCTTTGGGATTTCTAATATGAATGGCCGAGCTGTGAATCATTTTTTGCTAGTCAAATTGGACCAAAGGCCCTTTTCCCATGTGAATTAATAATGCAGGTTTTGCAGCAAAGAGAACTAGAGTGGGCTGAACTTGAATCCACTCGGCAGGCAGTACTGTTCAATTTACTGTTGGCAGGAGGTTTGAGCATCTATTTTGACAGCTAAAAGAACCAAAAAGCTGCCCAAGAGAATTTTAAGAGTGCTCAGAATGAAGTGTGAAGTAATTAAAATAAATCCACTATGCAAATTATAAATGCAGACCATTGGGGTTTCCAGAAGACTGTCCTCATGTTGTAACTCCTGGATATTAATCCAGTCCATGGTGGTTTATTAGTAATATTAACAATCATAATAACTCAGATTTGTGGAG